TGGAAAAGCCGTGCGTAACTCGATTATCACGGGCCGGCGCGGGGTTGCCAGTCAGGGATCAAGACCCCCGTGCTTATTCCTGTTGTTACATGGAGCCCGTGCATTATGCAGTTGAGCGTTTCACACCCCTGTCCACCGGTACATTGGTTCACCGCTAATTTTCTATGGGAAGCCGTGTTCCTAAAAAACGACAGATTGCGGAGAAAACGACAGATTGCTGTGCCGCGCTGATTCCCCGGAGGGCCGACTCAGCGCGGGTGTTTTTAACCCGCGCAAGTACCACCAGCGCCGCGCCGGAGCCAATTGAATAATTTCAAGGCCCCACTCCTAAGCCTTACGAGGGTGGCCGGGCCATTGCCAAGGGGCGGGTTTAGGCGAACAAGCGAGCAAGCATATATATACACTGTGGGGTCTTGTGTGGTGACTTGATGGATTTACAACCATCGTGCTTGGTTGATGGCAACCGTAGAAGATTACGATGCAAAGTCAGTTTAAGGACAATTTATGCGTCGCCACGGTGAGCCGACACCAGAAGTCACTAAATATTGCTATTTTGTCGCTCCAAAACACTTAGCTACTTGTTGCCAGCCTCGCGCGCTTCAGCCAGTCCGAGAAGGTTTAACCTATGCCTTCCCTCCTGGGATATACTGATCAGCGTCCAGGTTCAGCTTCGGTAAGGCTCTCTTCTTCAATGTTAACGTTATGCGGCATTTATTAAATGGTTTGACGCCCGGTGACTCCCCTCGGCTCGTCAGCTTACCCAAACAAGGTCACGAACCATGCGCCAACGCCGAAAGTGCAGCTTCAGGCTGGCATGCTTGACTGGGGATTCATGGCCCCCGCTTTCTGCATGTTACGCTACCGAGCTGGAAAAAAAAGAAAAAAAAACTGGATGCCCAGTTCCATCCACCTTTGGTTGTACAGCTCCTGTATGGTCAGCCCTACTATTTCGATCTCGATGGCCTTTACGAGCCACACCGTAGGGGCATTGGTGCCACCACACCATTAACCTATCGGCATTATCATTGTCGTGGTTCGCGCGATAATTTCTTCCAAAGTAAACCCTATTAATCATAGCAGTAGCTGGCTTCTTGGCCTCCAATGGGACAGGCTGGCAGAGGCAGGGCTGGCTAATCTACCCGATGCATTTGCCAACCAGACTTTACAGCCTGACCAAGCTGCGCGGGCCTCAACACACACTCACGTGGAATGTCCGCCGCTCGTTTTACCCCTCCTTGTTCCCAAGCCCCCCCCCCCCCCCCCCTCCTCGAGCTTTCCCTCAGCTCCCTCTTGTCACAAGACCGTGCCTTTTGCACCTACAGCATTCCCACGAGCCATTCTTCTCTTTCTTTATTTCGAAACCAGGTCCTTTCTCGTTAATTCTTTCGTGGTTTCTCCCGAGCCTTACCGCAATCGAGTCGTGCTGCACCTTTATGCTGCCGTGCTTAATCCTCACCGGTACTAAAGAGGAGAAACAAATCAAACTCAACCCTTATATATCCTCCTCTATTCCTCCGTCTCATATTCTCCGCCTCCCTCCACCCCCAACCGTTCTCCCTTTCTTGCACTTCCACCCGTTCCTATCGGTATAGCATGCCATGGCTTCGCCGTCTCGGCCGGCGGACCGTAGTAGCTTCCACATTGCAATAGTGTGCGCCCTGGAACTCGAAGCCAACGCCGCCGACCTGCTTTTCGATGATACATACGACGAGCGACAATACGGACGGGCCGCGGGTGATGTCAACACATACACCACAGGCCGTGTCGGCAAGCATGCCGTCGTTCTCCTCCTGCTTCCAAGCATGGGCCCACTCGCTGCGGCCTCAGGCTCGGCAAACTTGCGATCGAGTTATCCCAATATCAAGCTCGCATTGCTCGTCGGTGTCTGCGGAGGCCTGCCCCAGATCGACGGCCATGAAGCCTTCCTAGGCGACGTCGTTGTCAGCACCAGCATCTTTAATTACGACTTCGGCAGACAACACCCTGACGGGTTCGTCCCAAAGACAACCATCGAAGACTGCTTGGGCCGAGCAAACAAAGACATCCGCGGGTTGCTGGCCTCCTTGGGAAGGGAACGTGATTTAAGGCTCTTGCAAAAAGCGGCAAGGATCAATCTCAGCAAACTGCAAGCCACTGCCGAAAAAGAAAGCCGGCGGGCCAACTACACCGCGCCTCCGGACGCTAACGACAGGATCTTCTTGTCGGACTACCAACACAAGCACCGCCGGGATTGCAGATATTGTGATGCCGGTGATTTCTGCGACGCAGTTTCCCGCCTATCCTGCACCGATATCGGTTGCAATGAGCAGCCGTCCAGCAGGGACCGAGCGAGCATACGACCTGTTTCGCTTGGGCCCCAGGTCTTCATGGGCAAAGTTGCATCCGGAAACGCGGTTATAAGGTCAGGCGAGTATCGCGACGCCATCGCCCGCCGGTATGGTGCGATCGCCTTCGAGATGGAAGGGGCTGGCGCGTGGGACGAGGTGCCTTGCATCGTTGTTAAGGGCATCTGTGACTACGCGGACAGTCATAAAAGCAAATTGTGGCAGAACTTTGCGGCGGCATCGGCGGCCTCCGTGGCTGTAGCGATCCTGGACCGGTACGAGCTGACTGACAGCGCCACTGCTGGGACGAAAGCGCCCATCCCCCCTATACTACCCTGCCGCTACATCCCACTTTACCGGAATAAGCATTTCGTCGGACGGGCCGACAAGCTAGCCACGCTCCAAGAGAAGCTTTTCATACAAAAGGAGTGTCAAAACGCGGCGATTGTCGGGCTGGGCGGCGTCGGCAAAACCCAGCTGGCCCTGCAGCTTGCATATTGGGCGAAGCAGCACCGGCCCGAGTATTCTATCTTCTGGGTGCCTGTGTTGAGTGGGGCGACTTTTGAACTGGCATACAACGGGATAGCAAGGAAGCTCCATCTCCAGGACGTCGCCACGGACGAGGACCCCAAGGACTCCGTCCGGCGGTACCTGAGCTCGGAGGCGGCTGGGCCATGGCTCCTTATCGTGGATAACGCCGACGATGCAGATCTTCTTTTCGGCTCCCTGGACATGCCAAGCGGTTTGGCTGATTACCTCCCGGAGAGCGAAAACGGCTTAGTCCTGTTCACCACACGGTCTAGAGAAGTTGCCGTGTCGGTCGCCCGGAGCGACGTGATCGAGCTGTTCGAAATGGACCCGCAAGAGGCGGCCGATTACCTGGAAAAGCTGCTGATCAGGAAAGACTTGCTCCGCGACGAAGGAGAGTCGACGAAGCTGCTGAAGGAGCTCACATACCTTCCCCTGGCGATCACGCAGGCGGCGGCATATCTAAACACGATTCAAGTGTCGATCGCGGAGTACTTAAAGCTGCTGCGGGGGACGGATCAAGACGCGGCCAGCTTGATGAGCCGCGAGTTCCACGACAAGACTCGACACAAAGGCTCGCGGAACGCCGTGGCAACTACGTGGCTCGTGTCCTTCGACCAGATCCGCAAATCTGACCGCAACGCGGCCGACCTTCTGTCTTTCCTATCTTGCATCGAGCCTAAAGCAATTCCGCAATCGATACTGCCTCGACTCGAAGTAGAAGAGCAGACGGTGCATGCGATTGGCACGCTGTGTGGATATGCCTTCCTGACCAGACGGGGGGACAGCCAGGTATTCGGCATGCACAGTTTGGTACATTTGGCCACGCGAATCTGGATCCAGAGACAGAACCGTACGGCAACAGTGTATGGAAAGGTGATTCGACATATTGCAGAGATTTTTCCGGATGACGACTATGCGAATCGCAGCTTGTGGAGGGAGTACCTTCCGCATGTCTTTAAGGCCTCCAGAGGGGGGATACGGGGGTGAAGCGCAGGAACACTATCTGCAGCCCGTCGAAGCGCTGGCGCCTCGCCCACCACACGGCGGGCGTCCAGTCGGCGCCGTCCTGGAGAGCGCGGGGGGTCGCCAAGGGAGCACCGAAACTCACCTTGGCTCGAATCTGCTAAAGACGAAGCCGAGCGCCCTCGTCACGGGGCCGCGTGCCCGCGGCAACGCTGATGACGGCGCGGCGCGGCTGTGTGGTAGCTCGAAGCTCAGCCTCCTAAGGAAAACAAAGCACAACGGTTAGCTGAGCTAGAGGGCGGGGAATCGCCAGGGAAACGCTTACCCGACGGGTTTTCTTCGACCCGGTTATGCCGTGCGCACGGCGGCACGCGAGGTCGTACGCCGCCCGGGTGGCGAGTACCCGGGTGGCATCGCAAAAGGCGCCAGCGAAACCACCGTCATCCGCCGCGGGGGCGGGCGGCAAACCTAAGGTACAAAAACTCCTGGGTGGCAGGACCCAGAAGCGCACCGTCGCCGGAGAGGAGACCGGTAAAGTCATAGG